TCCTTCAACTTCTAATATATGCATATTTTTTGTTCATCCACTTTAAATTAAGGAATTAAAAATGTGTGTATTTAGATAAACTTAACATAGTAATTGATAGAAGGACTAAAAAAAATATGAAGAATGGACTAAAAAGTACATAAAAAAGTTAAAGGATGAAAATTATGTAAAACATTAAAGTTGAGGACCAAAAATGAAATTTACCCTTTTTAAATTTGAATTGAATTGTACTGAGCAATTTTTGTGTACCGGCCGATACACCAAAATTTGACCGAAACATACAAAATTTGATCGAAATGAAATTAGACCATGTACCGTTTCAATTTAATGTCAAAACCAACACGTACTTACCATATCGACCGTACTAACTGATATGGTATGGTATCTACTACTTTGGTGTAGACAAAACTTTTTTGTTTAAAAGAAACAAGTTGGACTTCATTGGAGAAACAATGAAAAGAAGCAAATTGTTGGAAATTGAAGGAACAACATTAAAAAAGATGAAAGATAAACCAACGACTTAAGTAATTCAGTAATTATCTCTTTTCACTGAAAGTAAGAGATTCTGAGTTTGAGTTGTATGTCATGCGGGTGAGGTAAGATAAGAGATAAAAGATTATTGCCTTCCATTATGTAACTAAGATAAAAATAAAAAAATAAAAAAAAAGGAAGATGAAAGACAAGACCTGGGTAAGGTCATGGGCCAAATAGACCCAAATTTTATAAGGCCTTCTTTGGATATAAGAAACTGGTCTCAACCCTCAATCATACTCTCTGGGCCTCAGGCCTTGCCTTGATCAGCTGATAGGAGTGCTTAGACAGTTGGACAGAACTATAATGCCTTCCAAATTGTTGAGGATTTTCTCAGAACAAGGGATTGGAAGGGGGACCAGGAGCACTGGAAATCTGATCTCTCCCTTTTGAGTTTCAGGTGGTTTTGAAAACTTAATTTAGTTTTAGAACATAATTCAGGTTCAATAATATTGCTTTAGCAGGCCTGACATTGTTATATTTATTGATCATAGATAATTATCTCTTCTGGAATTTAATTAGTGACCATTTTGTTTTTGATCATTGAATTAGATAAGGGATTCTAATCCAGCCAAATCCGAGAATGTTAGTATGTCTTTAATCATTAGACCAATGAATGTCTCCAACAGCTGAAAATAAATCAAAACATCTCACATGGTTATATGCATTATAATGAAAATTAATTAATTTTATGCTTCTGTTGTTGAGTATTTTGGATTACAATCTTCTTAATCCTTCCTCCGTCTTACATGATAGTTAATGTTTTTGGAAAATGATTCAGAAACAATTTATTTATACAATTTTTTTTTTGTATAAACTTATGTATTATTTAATAATTGGCTATTTTCACTTAATTGAACCTTTAATATTATATGTATGTATTTATTTAATGAATTATGAAAGTTATATAAAAAGATAAAAGTTGTTTCTATATCACTACTTTTTTACTCAAATTTCGTTATAGATTAATTGTCATTTTTTTAATATTTTAAGGATGGCATAATTTCTTTTTCTAATTCAACCCCTATTGTTAGCTAATCACACTAATTATCCATTCCATTAAAAAAAAAAAACAATTTCTTTTTGTTTTTAGAGGATAGTGCATATCTATCCCAAATTAAAAAAATATATATATGATGAATATTTTCAAAAACTAGCGGTTATATTTAGTGTTTAATTTATATAGATCATATATATCAATTTTTAAATTTATTAAATATATATAACTAATACATTGATTATAGAAAATTTATTATTGTTAAATATATATTAGAAAATATAATTTTTTTTTATCGAATGCTCATAGATGTTAGATTAGTTTGCAAACTAAAATGTATGATATATCTATATCAATAGAATATTAAATCTAACAATTAGTTTTTGAAAAACATTCATTAATGAGTGGTGTTTTTGAAGTTGAGACTCTAATTTTTTTTATCAAAATCGAGGACTAATGTACACTTTTCCCTTATCTTTATTTTTTATAATAACAAAAGTGAAAATATAAATTGTTCCTAAATTCTTAATTTGAGAAAATTTTTTTTAAAAAAAGACTATTATAGTAGGACGGAGAAAGTATGATGTGTAACAATAAGCTAACCAAGATAGAATTAAGGTTCATTACTCAATAAAAAAAATAGAGGGTTAATTTTGAGAGGAAAAAAAACTTCTGGTAAAAACAATTGAAGAAAAAGACTATCATATGTACT